CATTACTAAATTATTATTTAAAAAAGCGATCTTTCAAATGTTTCGAGCAGGGTGCTTTTTACAGGAAGGCCCATACGCATACTACAACTACAGCAAAGTAAATCGCATTGATTCATAAGCATGCACTATATCGAAAGACTGGTTGTCTTTCTATTATCAATATGTTTCTTGTTTTGACTCACCAAACCGCCGATCAGGGTAGCCTCATTCTGCTTTTGTTTCTGGAACAGAAAAATGCCATTTCGCCGATTAGATTCGTGCGTTGATGTCGATTTGAGTGAAGAAGTTTGAAGATAAAAAAAAATAAGCGCGATATTTTTTACGTTGAAAGAATTTTTTGGAATGCATTCACACTTGGAATATTCCACTTTCCTTCTTCTCGACATTTCAAATAAATCTCTTAATCAGAACAAATCAAAATTTTTCAAGTGGTGATGTTATTCAGAAAAAGTTTTCCCCGCATATAATTACGATTTAACGCGATCTTTGATTTGATTCAAATTATTAACTTAATTTCGAGCAAGAGAATTATCAATCTTGTCGGATTCTAATTACAAATGCTAATTAATAAAACTCTTCGAGCTAACCCCGCTGGGCCCGAGCCGGATCCTCTGGCGCAGCAGCTCCTAAAAGTCAACTGGTCGTCTGCTTCGTCTCTGCGATAGAAAGCAGATTTTATTTACTATTATACACGACAATGGAGACATTAAGGAACTCGATTTCAAACAAGAAAATTTTCAGTTTTATCGAATTTATCGGAATTATGAATTTAAATCAGTGAAACTCACCTTCACGCCAACTCTGCCAGGCCCGAGCCGAATCCTCCGGCGCAGCATCCCTTAGAGTCGAGTGCTCGTCTCTGCAACAAAAAACAGATTTAATTGAGTATTAATTAGTTACACGACAATGGAAGCATTAAGGAACTCGATTTCAAACAAGAAAATTTTTAATTTTATCGGATTTCTAATTATAAGTACAAAGTAGTGAAGCTCACCTTCGAACCAAACCTTCGAACTCAAACGAGCCAAATCCTCCTGTGCGGCATCCCCCAGACATGGCATCTCCTAGAGCCGCGTGACTGCGTCGGCTATTACATCTCTATGACAGAAATTTAATTTAACTTAGTAATTTAATAATTTAGTATCAATTAGTTACACGCGACAACAAAACGAAGAAAAGAAATTGTCGTAACGGCATGCCCGAGTTCCTTCCCAATACACAATAAGAAAAAATTAAACGACAGCCGAATAAAGAAGTAATACCCGATTAATTAATTAATTAATAGATGATGATAATAATATCTGATCGATAACCGTATAATAACGTCCGGTAGTATCAATTAATTACACACGACACCAAGACGAGATAAGGAAATCGTCCTAACGGCACGTTCGAGTTGCTTCCCAATACGCAATAAAAATAGTTAAATGACAACCGAATAAAGAAATAATAATATCCGAATAATAAATAGATGATGATAATATTTGATCCGTATTGAGGAACTCGATCGCGAC